ATCTGCACAGGTGACAGCTCCCCCCACCCCCCCCCCACCCACCACCCCCCCACGGTGCCGGTGTCAGCGTTGGTGGGTGGCAGGAGGCCCTGACAGCGTTGTTTTGGTGACAGAACGGCTCCGCCGTGAGGTTCACGACATCACTCGCCTCCCTGTAGATTTGTCATTTTTATATCCTGGGGGGGGGTTGGAAGTAGGAAGTACCCCCCGGACCTTTGCACGCGCGGAACTACCAGGCCAAAGGTCTGCGTGGGAAGTGTTTACCCAGCATCCCTTCCTCTAACAGTCGTTTTGAGGCTGTCTTAAGTCGTTTTATTCTCATTACAGTTTTAAAACACAGCCCACTGCTGCCCCCTGCTGTTCGAAACCTGCAACTCCAGCTTGCCTTTTTCTACCCCTTTTTTTTTTTTTTTCAATTTAGTATTGTGAGTGAGGTAATTTATCGAGGGAGGCCATGTTCCTGTGCATGCAGCAGCAATACAAATAAGGACCGAAAAGATTATTTTACAAGCTGTACGGTTTTTTGGCAGATAATGGAGCGGGCTTGACTCCCATCTGTTTCTCATGAAGGAGATTAGGTAAGGCGCAGAGGAAGACAGAAAGAGATGGGAACCCCTTTTTTTCCACAAATTTGTTTTGTGTGCTTGAATTCGCAGCCCTCTCTTAACTTGTGTGACAAAAAGAATACGGTATATTCATGTTTTTTAAGCATCGGGGGGAATTATCGGTTCCTGTGAGTTTCCACACCTCCATAAAGTGTAACGTTCCACATAAAAAAAGTTGTTTGCTCTGATGTCACTGTTGCCTCATTCGACCACATTTACTTTCGAAGCCTGTGCATAATGGTCCCAGAACTTTGTCCGTGATAACTCTTGATGTGGGGGGGAACTGAGTTGGTTAGGGAGAATAATCGGACTTCTGAAGAGCGGAATGTCAATGAGCATGAGTCATTTTTTTTTCTGTTCCGTCAATACTTTCATTAAGGTAAAAGGTGCTCCATTCACTACTCTGCTGTTTAGCTTTCATCAGTTCCCGGGGAAGACTAATTGGATTTGTGTGTTATTCCGAGTTTTCCACCACGGGAAAAAATTGAAAACAGGAATATAAATTAGGCCTTTTGAGATGTTGAGTTGTTGAGTAAGTCTCCCGTACTTATAGTTTTCTTCTTTTTTTATGAAAATCTATAACCACCTTCCATGATTGCTTTGGCCAATTACGTATAAACATCACTAATCACTTTGTAGTTTGAGACGCTGCACTCTGTAAGAATTGATCGGTTTGCTCTTATTTGCTTCTGATAGGAGTGAGGAGTGTGTCGATTTTGCTGAGAAACACACTCTAATAACATTCTGAAACATTAATTCAAAGAGGCTTTGATGGAAAAAATCTGTTCAGAAAGAACTGGTCCGTTGTTTTGGAAAAGTCTGTTTGTTGGATTTGTAATGCATGAGATATTAAAAGTAAATTTTTAACTACACACTTCTGTCATTTTTAATCAGTGGAGTCAAAACCTTTAATCAAAGGTTCTTTTTCTATCTTTTTTTTTGCGTCACAAAACAACTTCCACTTCATTTTGTTGCAGATAAAAGTGGTTTATGATCATATTCCTGAAGAATGGGAGGACCTATTTTCTTATCTGGCTTATCTTACAGGAAACTTTGTTAGCCTGCTGGTTAGAGCTACTCATTTGTTTCCATTATTCATCCTCGAGGGTTCATCATCTCACAGTGGCATCATCAGAGTGATCACTCCTCCTCCACTTGTCTTTATAATCCTGTTTCCCTCCCCTCTTCCTTTCTGCCACTTATTTCCAATCACACACCTTGAAATCTTCACTTTCCACCATGGATCGTTCTTGTAGGCCCACGCAGAGTCCGGGTGAGTTTCTGTAAACGTCAAAAAAATTACTGTAGGAAATGTCAAAAACAGGGGTTTATTTTTAAAAAAATGTCCCACCCCTACTGAGAATTAAAAAAATGTAACATGTTAGATAGTAATATATATATTTATATCTGTTTTTTTAAGAATACATGGATTAAAACACATAAATACAAAAATTCTGAGGAGATAAAAAAAAAAGGCCAAAGACATGTTAGGCACTGAGGTGAGTACATTAGTTTTTCTTTTTCAGACATATCTGGGAGTTCAAGAAAAAAAGGCCTTTTGCACGACGCAAACGTCCGGTTAACATCTTTTTTCGTAAAGTCTTTCATCAACAAGAGAGGAGGGCACATTTCTGTGATTATTTTTTGCATATGTTACAGTGTATCGCCACCACAGTGTTGACTGGACAGATAGATAGCAGGCACGGTCATTTACATTATTATATATATACTGATAAGCGTCTCCCTTTTTTTCTCACAAGTCAGCGTGTGCTCTGTCCGGGAGGCAGAGGAACAGTGATTGTCTGTAATAAAGTTTTTTTTTTTTAAAAGAGCAGGCGCTCCTTGGGATGTTTCCCTTCCTGCGAATCTCTTTCGGAATGTCAGCATCTGGGATGGTCCGGTCACTTTCTGGGGCTTTATGTCATTCGGATCACCGGTGACCCCTTTCGGCGCTCCCGATTGTAGGCCCGAAATCTCCGGTCTTTTTTTTTCTCCAGTTTCTGTGCTTCCAGCCGTGTGGCCCTTATAGGTCGTCGCCCTCGGCGGAGCTGAAGCTGCTGCGGCGGCTGCTGTCCTTGGAGGCGGCGCCCGGCGAGGCGGCGGACAGCAGCGGGTCGGCGCCGAACGGCGAGAGCGGGTCGTCCATCAGGATCTCGTCCAGCTGGTGCTCCTCCTTCAAGGTGGCGGTGAAGAAGTCCGTGAAGTGGGAGAGCGGGTCGGAGAAGGTGGTGCAGGCGTCGGCCCCCGGGAGGTGGTCCTGGGGCGCCACGCCGCCCGCCGCCGCCGCTATCCTCTGGAGGTAGTCGCCGTTGGGGTCCTCCTGGTAGAGCGGCGGCTGCTGCTGACCGGGCTGCTGCTGACCGGGCTGCTGCTGACCGGGCTGCTGAGGGGGGGGCGACTGCTGCTGCTGCTGTTGTTGTTTGAGGAGGTGGGAGGACAGTTCCACTGTGCCCAAGGCGGCGGCCATGTTCGGGAGCCCATGTGCTCGCGCCTGGATCTCAAGCTCCTGGAAACGAGACGGGGATCAGGTCAAAGGCTCGTCGACAGCTAATCAGGGAGTGACCGTGACTCTGACACTGCCACACCTCTTTTTTTTTCCCATACCTCCCCCTCATGCTGTGGTTAGTTTGGATATTTCCACGTTATCTTCCCATGCACACACTATCAGTATCGTCACGCCATGTTTGAAAGAGCTGTTTTCGTTAATATTGTCTCCCTGTCTTGTCTTCGAGAAACTCTTGAAGACCAACCTCTTCAAAGAGCATCTCCTATCCTAACCCTAAGCCGTACCTCTACCCCCCCACAGTTCCTATCCTAACCCTAACCCGTACCTCTACCCCCCCACAGCTCCTATCCTAACCCTAACCCGTACCTCTACCCCCCCACAGCTCCTATCCTAACCCTAACCCGTACCTCTACCCCCCCACAACTCCTTCTGTGGTCCCCTCTACCTCTATCTATATCTCACCACTGACTCTGATCAGTGTTTCTGTTCTATATAGTTTATTGTCATAGTGATGAGAAATGTAATATTGTGTCTAATCTGTAAGTCGCTTTGGATAAAAGCGTCTGCCAAATGCATAAACATAAACATAAACATAATATTCATCATTCCATGCAGTGAGATCAGAGGAACATTATCCTAAAAGTGGGGCAAAAAAAAGGGGTGCTTAGCTAACTTTGTGAAAATAACGTAAAGGAAAATCCATGGCTGTCTAGAGTCGTTATTGAGTTATGGCTACAGACGCGGTGTGAGGACTGTTTTTTTACCTGGATCCTCAATAGCAGCCTCCTGTTGGCTTGTTCCAGCTTCTTCTGGCGGCCCTCCAGCTCCCGAGCGTGCTGCTGCTCTTTCTGCAGCCACCGGATGTATTCCACCGAGGCCTTCAGGATGGTGCCTTTGTTCCACCGCATGTCGCTGCCAAGAGAGAGAAACGTTAGGGATAACCTTTTCCCCACCGATGTAGCAGGAATATCCTTTGCAATAAGAAAAAAGAGGGGGGAAAAGTTTTAGTAGAGCTCTTTTCTCCTCTTTTATGATATGAATAAGAACGGGAGAATTACATGGGGCAATTATTCATCCTTGGACATTACACAGGGACACAGAATGGGGATTTTAATAGAATAGTTAAGTAGCTATATGGAAAGTCCATTTTTGTACCTCCTTGAACGGTAAAATTAATCCTCGAGTAAAAATAGGTGAGGGGAAAATGAGCTAAGTAGGAAGGAAGGCATGGAGAAAAATGGAGCTTTGGACTTGAGGTGCCGGAGTGCAAGTCATTCTTTTTCAGGTAATATTACTTTTTTTTAAAAGGACAAGAGACCCGCAGTAAAAACGGTCCTTTTCCACACGAATGAAGCCTCGGTCTAATAATCTCTTTTATCCTGTGTTAATGGCACGGTGACAACGCCAACCTTCCATTTAAATTCGAAGCAAAGTTCAACTGCGGGTAGATGGCCGGCGTTTTTGCACACTATCTCCCTGTTCCTACGCGGCTTCAGACTTCCATTCAAACGGCGTGGCCCGATCCTTTGCATTTGACCCTTTCCTCATCACTCATGCTTTGAGCTGAACCCCTGCACCCGGCGAGACGTACATCTCAGCGGAGGTTCAAGTGCACCCTTGAAATTTGACTGAAATGTGCTCGAGTGCTCATTTGAATTCAACGGGGAAGAGACCGTGTAGAAAAGGGGACTGTGCTGTGAAGTTAACACGACTCCTCACAGGCTCCCGCGGCTGTTTTGCGGCAGAAAATAAAGAAAAGAAATGGAAACACGAAATACTATGCAACTTACGGGTCATTTGACTTTGGTATGAGTGTCCCCAACTCCTTAATTCTGTAGTTAATGTTGTATCGACGTCTTCTCTCAACTAAGGAAACGAGAGAAAATTAGAGAGATTAGAGTGTTGTCATCCGTGGTGCTAAGAGCTAGTTGTGGCTCATTCTCAGTCAAATGTTAAAAGCCAGAGGGGGGCACTTACTCAAATTGTGGTTGTCTTTTTTCTGCCTTTCTTTGGCCATCACCCTAGTGTCGTGCTCTGTCAAAAAATAAATCACAAAGGGGAACAAATGGATTAGCAATGCACACTAATTTAGAAACTGAAAGACAACGATCACAGAGCTCCACAGAGGGAGCGATTCAGTGTGTAGACACACAGTTCAGTGTGTAGACACACAGTTCAGTGTGTCTGCCGAGTTCAGCGGCGGGGTCACGGCGTGACGCTTCTGTGCATTCGCCCAAACTGCACACACACACACACACACACACACACACACACACACACACGTACGGCTGAGCCCAGTTTATCCCCTCTGGCATGTCTGAAAGCCCGTCGGAAAAAAAGGGGAAAGAAAAATCGGGATCACTTTTAGTCTACTTATTCTGCAATTAAGAGAGTTTAGCAAATTCACTAATCTGTCCCGGAGAGAGGGGAAAAAATGCCAGTGCATCCATATTTGTATTCACATTCTTCCAAATTACATAATTAGGGACCTGAGATTGAATTTCCCAATTTGTCTCTGTTGATTCAATCAGGACAATTTAAAGTCTGTGTAACAGCCCATTGTCCTCTCTGCCCACACTCAAATGAAACGGATGGTAATTTACTTATTTGCCCATTGAGAGTGAAGGATTCTTCAGGCATCCTTTCTATTTCCTAAATCAATTAGTTTTTTTTTCCTTTATGTTTGGGATTAATAGGAAATGTCTAAAGGGCGCTCTGTTTTCTTTTTTAGCCTTTCTTTGCACTCTGGTGAGAAGCCTACGTGGCTAATTAACAAACTATGTGACAAGCAAGACAGTGTCAAATTCCAGACAGAAATAAGCACACACACACACACATGCACACACATTCACGATCCTGGACTTTAAATTAGCACAGATGATTGCCGGCAGGTTGCTGTTTTTACTTGATCATTTTTTTTTCCTTCCACCAAAGCGTAAAGGAACCGATTTTTGTTTTGTTTTATGTTTAGTTAATTCTCTAAATGAACTAATTTAACCCTGGGCGTTTTTATAAGACTTTTACATCTATCTGAGCAAGCTGCTAACTCTTTAACTGATGAGTTGTTTGCTCCAGACTATGGTATGAGTTCATACCTGTGTATTCCCTTTTAACAGTGAGCTTTGTGGGGTTAGATGTGGGACTCATTCCACCATTAGGGGGGTTCATACCTTGTTCACCCCCATAGACGTCCAGCATGCTGCTGCTGAGGGACACCTGTGGGGAGAGGCAGGGGAAAGGAGGAGAAAGGGTCAGTTAATGAGGGGGGGGGGGATAGCATTTTGCATATCACAAAAGGACTTTCTGCACCTCGGCAAAAGCCACAACACAAACTGTTGTGTTTGGCTGCCGTGTGGCTTTGTGTAACGCTGAGAGGACTGATCAGAGGCCTCGTATAGAGAGGTTTGTAAGCCCCCAGGGCTTTTCCCCGGAGGGGGGGCCACAGCAGGACAGGACAAACCCTGCGCTGTGACCCCCTCAGTCCCGCCGATGACTTGCTTGTCTTGCATGACAGAGAGTAAAACAACTCAACAGGAATTTAACCCAACTGTAACCCTGTCGGACAATCCCTCTGCTGATCTCTGAGGGGCAGATTTGGACTGGACGTTTCGCCTCGATCCACAAAAGGCCCCATTTTCTGACTCCCAACGCCCCCCCCCCCCTTAACACTGATGTGCTCTGTGTTTAAAAACAGCATCCCGTTAGATGAAAAAGGCTAACCAGGTCAGCGGCGTGAACAGAGGAAAAGCTGTTTTCCTGCCGCTCTCTTCTCGTCTGGGAAAGCATGCTTTCCCTTTTTTTTTTGCAATAATAACGGGGCCTTTCACGGTGCGGGGGGGGGGACACGTCTGGGGGATGGCGTGCTGACACACATGTGTGTCTAATTCGCATTTGTGTATTTATGGGAAAATCCTAAAGAAGTCGCTGCGGTTTGAAAGATGCGCACAGCCAATTTGATCCGTGACATGTGTGTCAAATGTAACTGGGAGAGTGGTGAAAGGGATAAGGCTGCATGTCAAGTGGAGAGATGGGATGGAATGTAGAAGCAAGAGGAGAGATGAGGAGATACCGAGCACATCAGATATCTGCAGTTAGTTGCGTGCGTTTTTTTTTCTTCCCCTTACTTAGATTGAAAAATAGAAGAGGAGGAGGAGGAGGAGGTGGAGGGGCAAACATGCATATGAAAATGAAAGATTGCAACAATTCCCCCCTCCTGCTACTTCTGTAATCATTTCAATCCCTCTCCCGTCTGCGTTCCTGAATGTGTTGACACGGCGAAACGGTGTGATGCATCGCACTGGATGACTAATTAGGATGAATTGATCCATTTAAGCATAGTATCATTTCGGAACAAGCCCATGGGGACTTTCTGCATTAGCCCAATCCAACGGCTCAGTAACTCCTTCCTATCAAGTCTCTCACTCTTAGCTCCTCTGAAGAGCTTCAGTCTACTTTGGAACCCAACTTCACCTCCTCCTCTTCCTCCTCCTCCTCCTCCTCCTCCTGCTCCCCTGCCCCTTATCTCTTCCTCCCCCCTCTCATTCCTTCTCTGTCACAGTCACTGTTGTGCTATACTCTGTCACTTTATCTGTGAGGATGCTTCTTTGTCTGTATGTGTCTCGTTCCGTATCTATGTTCCCATCCAAATCTCTGCATTCGTTTCGGGAGTCGGCACGTTCTCCGTTTTCCCGATCATCTGCGGGAACGTTTCTCATTAGCTCTCCTGACAAGAAAGTGTTCTCATAAAAAACGTAATCTACTTTGTTAAACTTTCTGGAGGCGATGTGGCAAATGTTGCTAAGCCCGAGTGAACTTTGACTCCGCTCCAGACTTAAGCTGACCTCAAAGTGGGTCAGGTCCCCCTTTTCCCAAGCTAGTCAAGCCTGTAAGTCAAAGTTTGTGTGGAGGGAACCTCACTTTCAAGTCTCCATTTGGTTTAGGAAGAGAGAAATAATTGGTTAATGAACGTGTTATATACCTACCCACAAACTTTTTGCAGGGCTAAGCAAACAGAGGAAATCAGAAATTGATATAAAAAGCATGCGAGCTGCAGCTGGTCTGAAGCAATGAAATGAAAGATAGAGGATGAAGCTGTTAGAGAAAGACTTAACGTGATTCATACTTACGTTGTTTTGCATTATGATGTTAGGCTCCATACAATCCAAGCCTCCATCATTGAAACCGGACTCAAGACTAATTAGGTCATCAATAACTTCATCCATTGGAAACTAAAAGAAAACAGTAACTTTGCTTTACTCGTGGACGGACTGATGGGGTTTGTATCCTGTCCAAGTCTCTCCAGATCTAAACATTTAGAAGCATGATGGCTGTGAAAACAGGGAGGAACTGCTGAGAGGCTAATCCGATTACAGACAAGCTCTTCGCTGCCACATTTGGAGGTTTTTTAGCCGCGATTTCAGGAAAAACATGCATCCGTTACCAAACTAGCGTCCTCCTTTGAAATATTTCTCTCATCAGAGACTACATGTCTGAAGTTATTGATGAGCACATCACAGAGAGACGGACATCAGTAAGCGGCACACCTTTGTTTAGATGATTTGTTACTTTCTGCATGACGATTGATACGAATTTTAGCTCTCGATGACTAAGACGTTTCTGAATGACCACAATCCATCCCAACAAAGTGTCTGCCCTGGTTTATAGCTGATAATTTGAGAACATTAAGAAAGACAGTAGATCTCCTACACAAGCTACGTAAAAGTCTAGAAAACATTCTACGGGAATTTGGACTGTTGACAGGAAATGTTGAGAAATCTTCAAAAGTTACCCTCCACAGCCTGTGGCTCAGATTTTTTCCTTTAGATGGGACTTTTTTTCCAAAGAACAGTAGGTACATTTCGAGCTCTTTTCATTTTCAGTTCCACATATTGGCGAGCCTCTGTGCTTCCACCCACCTCGCTGTCGTGATTGGCCATCGTGAGCAGGGTGACGGGGCTGTTGGGGTTGCTGCCGTCACTGACGGGGGGCATGTGTCCGTTCCTCATGATGGGGACGGTGGTCAGCGGCTGGCCGGGGGTGTGCGGGTGCTGGACGGCGTGGCCTGATCCGGCCGAGGAGGCCAGTTTGGAGCCCAGCGTCAGGTACTGCTTCACCGGCTGATTCTGGCTCTGGTGGAGGTGGAACTTGGAGTTCTCCAGGTGGCTTTGAACCTGTAGAAGAAGAAAAAAAACAAAGTCTTACATCAGTTGAGTAAGTTTGAGTAGTTTAAGTGAGTTGAGTAAGTTTAGATTAGATCGGAATCGGAATGGGACGCTGAAATGACGCATTGTTTCCCATATTCGGGGACAGCGACTGAGTCAGACTGTATTTACCGTTGTTGAAAGCAGCTGAATAATTATCTGAGTCAAGATAGAACGATAAGTGACACATAAGTCATACAGGCTTGCCAGTTCAGGGGTTAAAATCACCTTTCACAGCGGAATTTGGTTTTCACGTTAATAGAAATAGTTTGTTATTTGGCTTCATGACAATCTGAATTCATTTAAAGTTGTGACTGACTGAAAAACAATGAATTCTTGTTCTATGATGTTAATTGTTAACAGTCAAGCAAATTCATAAAAAGTTTAGAAACACATTTAAAACTTTTTAAAAACATCGTTCCAAAAAACTTTACCACAAAGTTCGAAAAGTCGTTTTAAGCTTTGATTTTCTTACTTTCGAGGCTCTGGTTGCATCCCGCATTTTGTAGTAACTGCAGTCACTTAAGTGTGGCATTCTCAGAAAAAGCAGGTAATCTTCTGATTGGTTCGTTCTTTGGGAGCAGCAGGCCAGCTTTAGGGATCCAGATCTGCTGCTGCCGCTGCTTTCCTGCTCTGTGGCTGACTTCTCAGTGAGCGTCTGTCCCTTCCAGGCCCCTACCGGAGCTTTATAAAGGGCCCTAAGTGAACTAATTAGGCCTACAGCTGGGCGTAAGCCTTTATGTTGCGTAGCATGATAATCACTTCAAACGCCAGACTGTTAGATCATCCGGGGTTTGATCACTGCAGGATATCTGCCTTTAACGTCTATCACTAATTCATCTGGACCGCCCTTTTCACCGTGGCTGACCAATCAGTGGTCACCTCCCAAAGTCCTCTGCTGCCTGCTGCAGGGGTTGAGCTGCACAATTGACCCTTGTTTTCCTATGAGGGTTTTAAATAACTCCTCTAATGCCATTTTTAACCAAGCCTTTTCATTCATTCACCGGTTTGAATGCAGATAGTTAAGCATGATGGGTTCCACCGTATAATAGGTGCAATGAAGCTATTGTGAAGCCGCTGCTATTTTCAGAAGGAACATCTCACCTTAAACGACTAATTTTCTCACACGCCTCATCTTCACAAAGAGGTTTTCTGTTGTAACGTGTCTCATTAGTTAATGTCTCGCAGAGTATTTTGGTGCGCACTTAAGAATAACACAAGTCATTTTAGCGGTGGTTTTACAAAGTTACCTTTATTGGTGGTCAGTGATTTGGCATAACTACCAGTGTCTCTTTAATTTTTTTCCAGAATCTCTAAATGAGTCCTTTTTTTCCATGACTGACCACCGCTTATCAGTCAAAACTGAGGAAACCCTGATAAGCAGCGAGGCCAGTGTGGCGGAGATTCAGTTGACTCTGCTGTATTACGAGGAAATGAAAGCAGATATTAGAATAACTAGACGTCTCTCGTCCTGTCTGTTCCTAAATTTCGACGACACTTTTAGAACGTTCTGCTCAGATTTAAAAACAGACGGGCGACAGGTGTCACCACGTAAAAAAAAAAAAAAAAATGTAGCAGTAGCTAAAAGAGAAGAAAAGAAAATAAGCTAAAACCTCTGCAAGCTCAGACCTTTACAGTTATGAGGATGAAATGCCATTTTGCTAATTAAAACCCACAGTTGGTAAAGAAGTTAAAGGGAAAAAAACGTAATTGATGTATTCGCCCCCTCAAAGTTTGTCTCACTAATGGAATGTAAGCTCATTACATTTTTCTCACTTACAAAAAAAAACTAAACAACAACTTTCAAATCAATGTAGCAGCGCACCCCAACTTGTCACACTCTCCTCTTCATCTGGGCTTGCTTGTCTTATTCCCCACTCGTCCTTCCAACTGAGAAGAGGCTCATCACAATACTCAACTTGTAAGTAGTGACTGAGACCTCTTATCTGACTTCTCCTGGCCAAACAAGATCCCGGTTGTTAGCCAATCAACATTTTTTTCCACTACGGAGAGCAGGAGGGATGCCAGGACTGCTACACACCGCATCTGGTTTGTGTGACGGCGGATTGTCCTGGTTTCACTGCAGCCCTCTCACTACTGTAAATGCCGGAGACACGCTTGTTATCCACTTAAGGGAATCTGATTAGATTTGAGCAGTAATGGTGCTTCAGTCACCAAGGCCAGCCGTGACAATGGCCGGCCTGTGCATGTGTGAAAGTGTGCATGCCGAAATTTAGCAGTGCCTCCCCCATACACATTGGACAGGGGGGATAAGAATCTAATCAATCAAGGTTCAAGTTTTGGGATTGTTGAGGATGTCTCGGAGCGTTTTTTTTTTTTTTTTTTTTTTTTTTCCCCCACTTTTCAAAAAGACTCCCAGCACCTGCTTCAACAATTGGGACAGTGTTCGAGACAGAGAGGAGGTCACAGGTTCACTTTCTGTTTACACACATCTGCACTGTTACCGCTACCGTGTAGACCCCTTCGTGTAAATGACATTTTCCTTTTTTGGTTTGTTTGTTTTACTTTAAAAAAAAGGAATGGTTTCATGTATTCTTACACATGAACCTGATTAGGTCCATTTTTTCCCTTTTTTTCAGAAATGCAGTTGTCTTTCCTGTGTCTAGAAAAAAAAGTCTAAAGTTATCAGTCATCAGGAAATCAGCAGCATCTTCCTAACCTCATTATCCTGATCAGAGATGTTTTAAACCCCTAAAATCAGGACTGAAGATCCAGATAAAGACCTCATCCCACATGCACGCCTATTTCTCCTTTTCCGTCTCAAACTTCTCCTCACTCACTAGTAGTTTTGAATGAATTAGCCAGATAAATCAAATGTAACTAGTACACAGAGCACATAGCAGCAGCTAGAAATTATATGACATCAACAGCAGAGAATAAAACCAACATTCTGCATAATCTGAAAAGGTCTACTTTAGCTTCTTGCCATGTGATGCATTTAGTAGTTGTGTTTTTTACCTCGCTGTTAAAAGGTGTAATTCTATAGTCCGCACAGAGCCATTCAAACAGCCACGCACGCCTTCTTCTTCTGGACAAAAAAGCTGTTGCCTAACACGGTTTCAGTCTTGCCCAAGTTCTCCTTTCACTTCAGAAAAAGCCAACAACTTATGAAACACTGGGTGATGGTGACATTAGTTAGCTGTACAAATTGTGGACAAACCTTGTAGGAGGTTTGGATTCATTTCTGCAAAAGTGCTTGGCTTCGCACCATATTGACACAGTTAGGGAATGCAGAGTGGAAATATTTAATGATCTTTTTCCCCTCATCTTGAATCAACCAAGATGAAAGTGAAATGAAAAGCTCACATTTTTTTCTTTCTTTTTTCTTTTTTTTTGCTGAGCCTGCTAACCAGTAAATAGCTGTAACCACAAGATATAGTGATGAAATAGTTGGGAAGATAAGACTCGGATAGAGAACTTATCACAAAATTTGCATTCCACGGTGGCTATTCAGTTATTCTGGTTTATAATTTGGAAATAATCTCTCTTGCATGCAAACAAATACACGCAGATGCATTTTTTTTCTGTGTGACATTGCCCCAGTTTCCCAGTTTTGGATCTAAGCTTTTTCCCCCTACCTGCAGAAGCTGGATCTCTGTCAAAGTGACCACTTTGACCACACAGCAGCGGCTCATGGCTGTCCAGGGAGGCAGCTTCTCCCACCAAAGGAGCTGCCGCTTCTCACAGAAGATCGCGAGTCAAACAGCTTACGGCTGTGTCTCGCCACCGAGATCCCCGGTTGACGAGAAGAGGAAGAAGAGGAGAGGGGCCGCAGCCTCTTTCCTGAGCTTTTGCAGAAATACCAGAAAAGGAAGGCATGACACATCAGCTTATTTGGGAGCCGCGCAGGCCGTTTCCTGCGAGTGTGTGCGTGTGTGTGTGATGGTTTTTCGGTCAGAAAAAGACCTGACGGAGGCAAGAATGCAGATGGCGGTCCGGGGGTCGTGTGTAGAAGCGAAATAAGTTGACAGAATGTGAGTTCCTGCTTGTGGATCTTTGTGCTTTCCTGCCTGTTGAGGATCAAGCCCAGCTCAGCACATTTCCCTAGGTTATCTTCATGACACTTACTTCCCCTTGAACACCACTCAACCACTAGTTGAGATTTCAACAAGCTACACACACAGAAAATGTCTTTATGTTTGCAAATATACTGAACGAAGTCTGTACATTGTATTTCCTGTTAATGAATTATCAGACTCCACTTTATGTACAGCAGTGAAGTTTTAGGCCCAACGAAAGCTGACAGAGCACTTTTTAGTACCAGTACCAGGCCGCATTATAACCCTCTCTTCTGGCACAGCGTTTGCAGAATGAAATAATCAATTAAATCAGAGCTTGACAAGATTGAAAGGGTTTGCAAACTAAATCAAAATAGGGGAGAGATGTCTCCGAGGCAAACCCTCTGACCCCTGGTTGCCTTTCCATTTGCGATAAATCTGTATACCTGCTATTTGTGACCCACTTTGGGATTATCCCTCTATTGTCCACACCTACATCTCACTGGAGGAGATTCTGATCCAGTCCACGACGGAGGCAAAACATGATGCAAAAAAAATTCCTACAGACGTTTCAGTGTGTGTGTGGTGAATGAATGAGAAGAAAGGCCCGGGTCAGCGCATGAATCTGAAACGGTGCTGGGTAAACTTCAAATTCACTGGTGGATTCTCCAGATATTTAAATGCTCAAGCCACACAGATGCGTTTAGGGACTTTCTAGAATTGACGGCAACCTAAATGGTGAGAAATCGGGCCTGCCCGATGTGTACGTTTGCCGTCTTAACTAATTTTCGGGTGGCAGCTCACGCATGAGGGCAGTAAAATCCGGAACAGTTTTATACCCTTTGCTGTTTCAGTGATTATTGCAAACAGAAACTGGGGGTTTCATATCTTTTGATACACTGTAATAAACACATCAGAATTAATTTGGGGACATTGAATGTAATAAGGGAAATTGAATCACAATGATTCAGTTATATCAGGCGAACATAGATTATGTTTTTCTGAGGAGGGAGTCTCCTCTCGGCAGTCAAAACGCAGTTTGTCCTGCACGTTTTCATGGAAGATGATTGGATTACACATAAAATGCCAGTCTTGATATGACTGTAGATGTAAAGTCATCTGTGAAAGCCTGCGTCAGATACAGTCAAATCATTTATGCTGCTGTCCATGTCACGTTTGTCTGGGATTTGAACTTTTTTAACATCAAAATAAATCCGGGTGCATTACTACAGCACCTCACAGTCAGTTTTTGCTCCATCCACCATCACCCATGTGTATATTTGTCTACTTTCTTTGTTTATTTGATGTCCTCTTTTTTGTACATATTGGCAGATCTATCCAAATTCCTGGCTGGCCATTTTCGACTCGTCTTGGGGCAAGCCACAAGTGCTCACCTTTGTTAGTCCCCCTGCACGGCATGTTTAAAACATCAGGGACTTCCTGTAAGAGCAGGCCTGCTTCTGAGACTCCACTTCAAAGTGCAGCTCCAACATCTGAGGACTGTTTTATCCTGCTAGAAAAGGAATGCATAATGGGCCCAGCACCACTGCACTTTTAATGATTCTCATATGAATTAAATATTACTGCTATTTTAACTGGAATTGCACGTGAAATTGTGTGATAGTGTATGAGTCGGTGTGTTCGTGTTACCTTGATGAAATATTGAATTCAAGAAAAACAGTTTGCTCCTGAAAATAATTAGGATTCAAACGTAAAGACGGTTTGATTAAAAAATGTAAATTTCCCATAAGGGAATCAGCAGTAAACATTTTTTTTTATTCTTAAGGCTGAGACCACTTAGAAATCAAGTTGATGATTAGCTATCAGGCACATTTGGTGCACTTGTTAAGGTTTTTCTTGTAATCCCGGTTGGAAATTATCCTGTCTGACCGATCAAAGTTTTGTCAGCGTTTTTCCAGCCGATTAAACACGTTAAACCTCTGCCAGCTCGGTTTGTCAGTACAGTTCAACGCAGGGGTGAGTTGACCTCAGGTTGTAGCTGGACTCGGTTATTTAATTAGACCCCCATCTCCAGGAATCAACTTATTATGCCGGTCGTGTCGAACATGGTGGCTCAGGACGATGTGAAACCACATTAAGGACATTCTGTCACTTCTAACTCTCTCTGTGGAACATCATCGTTTATGGATGTACGGCTGAAATCCCTTTCCATAAGCTACTTGAATGGTAATTATGTCAGATGACTGTCCAGTTATTACATCAAGATATTATTAGAGCAGAGTGACAGTCCAGAAACACCGTCAGTGTCTGTCATATTAGGAGTTCTGGACACGTCTGGCTGTCTGCAGGAAAATATGCAAAGGAGAGACTTTTTGCAAAAATATGACACGCTAATGCTGTTTTTAGTCTGTTTTTAGTCTCTTCTTATTTATCATCTCAGTCACTCCAAAACAAGTGGAACTTTTTCACAAAAGCGCTCTGTGGACTAAAAACACAAAGATGATGTGTTCTTGGAAGTTATCTTCATTTTTGTTGTGGTTTAGTCTGTTTTTTGTCCAAATCCGTTGGGCTCAGAAGGTGAGTTGTGTAAGTTATCCGCAAATTAGCTGGTTTTTTCAAACAGGAAAGCTGGAGACACAGGTGCTCTTCACTCAAACAAGGTTTGGCAATTTGTCCAAGAGGAGGAGAGAAAAGTTATTTGTCCAGATCTGATCAGCTCAGATCCATTTCCTACAAAAACTACAAAAATGTGATGGCTGAGCATAAATCCGGCCACATCGAATTTCACGAAACATAAAGAAAATGCTTCCACCAATACCAGTTCTGAGAAAAAAAAGAGATACCAGTTGGTATGCCAGCAGCTTAGTAGGCAAATAACTTAACTCTGCAGATGTTGGCAGGGACGTTAACATAATAAAGAGTAATTTTATCAGTTCAGAAATACATAAATTTAGTTGTAAAAAAAAAACGGGTCTTTAAAACTTCTGAAACATACCCAAAAAAGTATTTCTACTTTATATTCCTTTCATTTCTCTCCATTTATACGAATTACAAATGTTACATAAACAACTTCCCCTTAACCGAGGGACTTCAGAGGGATGGGGGGTTGGGGGGGGGCTGTGGAAGGAGAAGAAGGCGGATGCACTTCAGCCGAGCCTCTCAGTCAGCACAGAGCAGATGTGATTAGACAAAATGGAATAATACGATTTTTGCCGCTAAATCAGTTAGAGCACATTATTCTCTCTGTGAGCAGTGAAAAGGAGCCTGTTCACAGGAACACCTGAGAGGTCCTAGATCCTCGGCACACATGCATACATTCCTGCACATTCTCGCACGCACAGTGCCCCACAGAGACATACTATGAAAGCCCAGCCGCGACTTCCCCTTTAAACTATCAGTCTTTCCTTCTGGTATCAATAGATCTTACAACTCAACATCCAAAAACTGTAATATCGTCTCGTGTTATAGCTCTAAAAGTTGCTTAGTAACTGTGGAATCATTCCATGTTCACGGACGTAAACATGTGTACAACTCTACAGTTAAGCAACGCTACCATTTTTTTTATTAGAGTTCAAATCCTGGCCAACGACTGAAATTCCCAAAAGTTCCATCTTTCCATTTTTTATTTCCCCTCATTGTCTCTTTTCTTTCCTCTCGTCTGCGTGGGTTTTGTGTGGGGTGTGCGGCCTATTTGTAAAGCCACGTGACTTACGAGACTTTTATCTTTTTGTGGAAGTGTGTTGAATTTGTTTGACCACCTCCATCTCAGCATTTTCCCACTTTTTCTCAGTCACACCATCATTGGAGTGTTTTCTACATTCTTCAAAGCAAACTTGAGATGAGGAAGTGAACTAGATTATTAAAGGGCACACTGCAACTTGTCACCATCTGAAAGATGCCTCTTGTCTTTTGGGTTTCACTTTTTTTCCGTCTGGCTCTTAATAGGGCATCAGGATGTCCAGAGTCCGGGATTATGGCTAAACTGCCGTGTTGTAGCTCTGAAAGGAGAACCTCATCCTTGACCCTCACCGTCCAGTGAACTGGAACGGGCCGGACCGGTGTTTAGCACCGCTTCTCCGAATGATGTCAGAAAGCTTTACTACAGACAACCTCTAATCTCTCACTTTGGCAAACAGTGAAAGGGAGCCCCAGTGAGCACCAACTATAACTATTAAGATGAAGTCTTATTAAAATTGTGCACATGATTGATTGCAAGACAGTTGCAGCTCAGCAATCTAAAGGCCTCGAGAGCCCAGGACAAAGAAATCTTTGATAATGCCTCAGAAGTGAGAGTGGCTTTCTTTAAGTATCACTTTAACTCGACTTTGGTACAGCAATTTATCAACTAATCCAGCATTCAATATGATTTTTTCAACCCTAATGTGTTCAGTAAGTTGAATTTTCATACACAGTGAGTTCACATTGAGTGGCATATGTAAGCTACTGTTAATACAATGTTTAACCTGTTAATTCTACACAGACTAAATTGACATTAACTCTCATGTTAGACAGCTAAAGTCCATCTGAGATAGGGGAAGTGATAGGTGTTGAGTCAATTTGACCTGTTCCAGTTGATCTAACTTAATAGTTATAATGATGAACTCTTCAGCATAAAGGCCTGAAAGGGACATGGCAGTTTCAATTCTGCTGTTTTGCTGCCATTAAAAAGGTTTAAATGATTTGAAAAAATATCCTGGATTAAACTTTGGCAAAAGCTTGTTTATGATGACACACCAATGACGTGCCTCTGATCTAAACTGTACTTAAAATTATTTCTTTGTTTGTTTTTGTTAAAAAATAATTAAATTATTTCAAATTCCTGCTGTTCTCACTCAAAAATATGGCATGATTTAATGTCCGTGTAGATTATTATAAAATGCAAATTAAAATGAGAGAAGAATTTGCACTAAAATACAGAACTACATGATCATTTTATACTTCATGCTTTATGTCAGTTTGACCCGAGCAGAAACACATGACTATTAAAAAATGTATATATCCTGAAAAATGTATACAAATAATTCAAAATGTAAGCTTTTTTTATTTAAATATTATGCATAGTTGTATGGAATGAGGTCTATTATACCATATATTACACAAGAATAGTAAAACCTATGTTGGAACAAAAAAGAATTGGTGATAAAAAAGTAGACTGAGAGTCGGGTCGTAAATGGGGCTGATGGGAGAGTTAAAGAGGTTATCAAGATGGAAAACAAAAGTTCAAATTTTGAGGTTTTACAGCGCACAGAAACACTGAATGGGACAAGCTAATATCATCAGAATTAGGAAATGTTTTCACGGAATAACGAGGAAATGAAAGATGAACGATAAGGTTTCCACAAACTAGTACTAGGTGAACTATTACTGACTGATGAAGTTAGGTGATCATTGTCACTATTAGAAATGATGTAACGATTCCAGTACCATATAAACCACTGTCCCACAAACAGGGAACAGCTTTGTTTGGCAATATAGAGATTTAATTTATTCTATTTTTTGCATTTAATACGAGCATTGCTATTTTTGTCCTTCGCTGTCGAGACATTTGGAGTTTATTTAATTTTGCTGTGTCTTAATAACAGGAGGATAAGCGCCTGTAAAGAGCTATTCCAATTTTTTAGGTTGCTTCTCTTTTATAATTAATAACTTCAGCTGTTAGCTTTTTTACTTAAATCAAGCTGCATCATCTGACTTTGTTCAGCAGAAACTGGTTTCTCTCAATGTTCTGGTGCTTTAAATGTCCTAATATCAATAACTTGAATTGTTTAAATTCTAAGAGACGTAACTTGTCCACATCGGGCTTCAAAGAGATGGAAATTCAACAGATCTCCGCTGGATCCGAAATATTGGACTGCGGCTCCTCTGACCCTTTAAACCCATCCTTCTGGGCCCCACCAACATGAAGTGCATTTATTGGCTAAATTTGCCAGCCACTGTTCAAAAGCTTTTGGTGGACATATATTGATTAGCCACATCATCTCCTCCCCCCCGCTCCCCTGCCCCCTTTTCCTTAACTTGATTTTGGGAAATTAAATAATGCAATAGCTGTTTAATGAGAACTAAGCAGAAAATTAGATCAACTTTGACCTTAGCAGAGCTAATAATATATGGTTTGTGCTTTGCACAAAGAGCCGTTTGTTCGCTGCGTCTGGCTATCTTTGTGCTTCTGCCGTTTGAACAAGTGAGCTGCTGAGATGGAAGGAGGAGTGCCAAAGCACCAGCATGAGCATGAGAGGCAAGACTAAGAATGAAAGATCAGTGCAAGCAGCTTGTAGCTCAGATCAAAAGCTAGCCTGCTTTTACACAGCAGTGTGTGGCTAATAGCGCGTCCTGTGATTGGACGTAAGTGTTGATTAGGCTTCAGATGCACCACAAATTCCAAAGGAAAAGACAGAACAGAAAAAATAAAACAGAAAATACACATTACGTAGAATTACAAGTTTAAGTCTCTTCCGGGAGCCATGATTCCATTCAGATTCCAAACTTTTGCTTTGGGAGATCGTACAGTGACTGAGCATTGTTGAATATGAAAGTGATCAAAAATGAAACAGTAATTGGGAGTTTTAGATAAACATTTTCAAAATCCATACCCCCCCAAATCAAAAGAGTCAAGTACAGAGAATTCAAATGTCTGCTTTTTCTTCATTTGTTAATGCAATCAGTATAATTTTCATTATGGTCCCCTATTTCTTTTCCAGTTCCTATTGGATCCATCAGCTCTGCCAGTCACCCTCTCTTATCATGCCAGTTGCTAGTCTTTGCTAAATTGAGTAATTAGTTGTGCTTGAGTTCAATTTATTATGTTTCCACCATTTAAGCACTGCCAGTTCAAAGTGTGCTGCACAGTCTGCCAGCTTTTCTGTTAAAAATGTTACAGACTTTCAACTGTTGACTCAAGACTTGCTCAAAACCGAGTTCTGTGCATCTGTCGCGGTACAACTGACTCCACAGGTGTGAGCTACGGCCGGTACAGACATTCATGACCAAAGCAAAGCCCACTACATGTGGGCAGGTCCAAATACGGAGCAAAAAAAATTCTTAAAAGTTCTTAAAGTTATTATCACAACCGAAAATGTTTGAAATCTTACTTAGAATTATTGCCATTAATTTGTAGTCATTTGAGAATTTAAAGGTGGTTAAAAGGAAAAGCAAATATGCCAATTGAGCATAAAATCTAAATATGTTTCGAAACAGTAAATTAAGGAAGATATTGAGTCGGTCAAAGGAAACTAAAGACGGAGGTAAGGCTATAAAGCTCCAAACTGGCCAACATTTATCTGGGGTCACACTTTTTTGACCGTGTCGCACAGCACCGTGAAACCGTGTCGGCTTCCATGACGGACACGTCTGTTGTGAAGAGAGGCGTAAAGAGGCTTGGCCAACGTTTACTTTCACAGAGCTTTGCAGCTAGAGGAAAACCAAAGCAAAACCTACAAGGTGCATCCGTATGCCTGTGAGTGTCAAAAGAACAACAGAGCACAGTACAGGCTTTATCCTGCTCTGAAGCAGGTGGGAAATAAAGAGAGAGGAGCTGAAAATATGCGTTTACAACATATTTTGATATTTTAAAGAGACATAAATTCAAGGCACATGTCCATTAAGACAAGATTATGGGCCACATGTAAGAAACAGACCAACAAAAGCCTAAATGTCTTTATAGCATGCAAAATTTTAGTTATACAGCTTTAATACCTTAAACATTAAAGTTATTACTAAAGTAGCCTTAAAGTTATTTGGCCAAACAGGTTATTTTCCCCTAATACAGTGTTGAACGCACCTGAAAAACTGAAAATCAGCTCTATAAAAGCAGCAAAGGAGGAAAGACATCAGCAATGATCTCAGAGGAGCAATTGTTGATACCAATCAGGACTCAGGCCGTATTTTAAATGTATTAGTATTACCCATTAGGCCGTCTGCTCAACACTCATTGTTAGTTAAATAACGAGCTGCTGTAATATCCCCTGTCTTGTCAGTTATCTGAAGTTGTATTTACCTCGTTTTAAGGCCTGGGATCTGTTCGGCCACACAGGGATTAATGGCCTAATGAGGTAATTAGGTTCAGCTCGGAGTTTTCAGCATCACAAAGCCGGTTCACCTTTGCAACATTTGCAGAAAGCTATGGAGATAGTGTGGTTTAAAGATAAGAGTCCAACACATGCGATTGCATGTGGCATGTGATGGTAATTACATCATGAGAAGTCAGTATTCTCATGTCTATATAGTCACATCCACCTCCAATACTGTTTTAAAACTGGGCTAATTAAAATCACTGGACCCTTGTCATCGCATCTTTAGGAGTCTGGAATATAAACATAATTAGTTTAGACATTTACAGTGCGCCCACTGACTGCTTTTAATCACTTTATCTGTTTGTTCTTTTTTTTCTTTCTGTTGCAAAGGGCAACATTAGTAAAACAGCCATGCAACTGACAGAATATGTCTAAAACCTTCTCACGTGCTCCCTGGAATACACGTGCATCATATCATAATTACACATCACACATGGTCAGACCGAGATCTTTGTGCTTAAATGAGATGGCAGTGATATCGATCAGGGTGATTTATGGGATATCAGAGTTTGCTTTCTTTGTTTTAGTTCTCTCCAGTTTTGACTGCAGCAGCTTGGTTTCTTTTGAGCCTCCTTGAAAGATATTATTATAATCTATGATTTACACATATGTGTACCCTTGTCTTAGATGAGTTTTCCTTGGATCTGTAAAGTCATATCCTCTGCTTTTTTCTGTTCTTATACATTACATTTTACAGCTTTAGCTAAAATAAATTATTCTTTACCAGCTGTGAAGCTTTTATTGTGATTGATCTCCTGATGTATAATTCAACATCCTCAATGCAAACTTCAACTGATCTTTATTGTGATAATGTATATGATCTTGGATCCATCTTTCTTTTTTACATTAAACTGCATCCAGGCTCTCCTCTTATTTTAATGTAAAAGAAGTACAGCAACCTCTACAAAGCAATGGGATTTCACCACTTTCCTCCTCTTCCTCTATCTGTGCCTCATCCCACGTCCTCCCTCACAGTTTTCCACTTTTCTCTTTGCTCACCTGTCCCGGGCTAACGTGGGACGACACCGAGCTTTTCATCCGGCCAAAAGACCCCTTTAAAAGCCTGATATTAAGGCATAAAGTGGTTGACATAGCATAAGCAGGTATGAGAAAGCAATTAAGGGCTGAAAAAAGAAGAAACACAGTGATGTCTTTCAGATACTGATTGAATGTACCCCAATCTCATTACTTTCATGACCACTTTGAATAGAGTCCATACATTTGTTCTTATTCGGGTCATGGGGATTTACTAAGTGGTTGACCAGAAGGCAACGGGGCATTTAAGGACGCGCATCTTTTAAGACCCACGAGCCACGGCCGTCCACTTTTTTTTATTTTATTTAACCGTAACTACCAAATGAAATGGAGGATCCTTTGAACTCATCATATTTTGGATGAGATGACCATTTTACAGACCTTCTTTGTTTTGAAAAAAAAAATAAAAATCTAATAAAATTCACTTTGATTCTCGCTAGTTTTTCCTGTTTGGTTTGGTGTTGCCAACAGGGTTAAATTAGTTGAATAACATGTTGGATTTGATTCAATCTGATGCTTTTCAAATACACATATTTCAGCCTTAAGCCATACCCACGCATGTTTTATTTCCCATAAATATCTTTGTGATGGAGGCCCTCTCAGAGCCCTCTGGAACAGGGCTGCCTTTTACCACACAATCGCACACGTTACACAAGTCAAACAATCGCAAATTGGATTCAAAGCGATGGAAATGCTAAAGTCTAGGATTCTATTTAAGCATGAAAAGAGCGATGGATGCTGATGTACTCTGGAGGACTGAACGGGCACATGCATGCCCCTGCATGCATAGGTGTGTTGGTTTCACTCACCTGTCCGTACCAGTTATATTCCAGCATTGTAATGGCGGTCGTAGGACTCACAAACGCAAACACAAACACAAGGAAAGCAGTTACACAGATCAAATCAGCTCTCCTCTCAGATCAGTTTTCCCCGGCGTGGAGCTCCCGTCGTATTGACCTGTGGTGCGTCCGGCAGAAGCTAAGCCATCACACACAGATTTTGTACACATGGACTAACCAAGCCTACGCGGACTCACACACCCCCCCCCCCCCGACTCTCCTGTTGAATTTTGGCACTCCCAGGGCTTACGACCTGTTGATAATGAACCTGAACCCATTATTTTGAGTCAATGAATTGAAAGAAATAGGGCAAAGAATGAAAGCCACAGGGCCAATTAACGGCATTCTTTGATGTATTACCCTCGCTCACCACTCAAGCAGACCGCTCCGCGCCTTTTGTCTTTATCCCCTCTGTTATTCATTAATTATTCTGAGCGGGGTCAGAGTTCGTGTGGCTAATTGTGCAGACCGTCTCTCTTTGAGGACGGCAAAAGATTCGCCCGACGCTGACACTCCCCCTGACTGTGCCCAGCCACCTTGAATTATGCCAATTATTCCAATTCTTTGATTTTTTTTCTTTTTTTTCCTCCTCCCTCTCTCTCTTCCCCCACCTCGTTTTTCCCCCCCCCCCCCCCCCGTCCTCCTCCCTCTTAAATCCGGCCTCCATCGCTGGAGTCTGTTTCTAACCCTCACGCACAAATAAATGTTGAACTTAGGGTCTCCTCTGGGACTCCTCTTTTAGCATTTTACTCTCTTTTATTTCTAATTCTTGTTCGAACAAATCGATTGGACAAAGTTTTGACTGAGGATTATTTAACCAGTGTTACCACGGATAGGAACTGTTGTTCCAGGAAGAATAAAATAAAAAAAATTGAGTTTTTTCTTACTTTTCACAAAGTGAAATTAACTTTATTAGTGGTTTGTGAAAATTTGCTGCCTCTGACTTTATATGAATCCTCTGGAAGTTAAGTTTGATCAGTTTAAAGGTGTAACCTGAATATTAGAGCACAAGTTTTCACGCCTAAACTTTTTATCCCGATCAACAAACGAGATGCACAAGCTTTTGTTGTTTCTCGTCTTTAAGCTTCTTAGTTGTCCGGCTGCTCTAGTTTGATCACCTTCTCACTAAGTCTTGGCAAGAGAGGCACTTTTTCATAGTCTCCCAACAAGTTGAGCCATTCCTTAAACAAAAAGAGGCTTTCTTTGTGGTATTAATTGGTAGACGTGGCTCACCGAGCGCCTTTCATCGGGCAATTAATGGAGCTGAAGAGAGAAAGAACCGTGGTGAGGTCAGCCAAGAAGGATGGATGTAACAAGTCTCGTTTTTTTTTAAACAAAATCACGTGTTGTAAGTGATTGAATTAAACCCGCCCCTCCTTCTCTTATCTCTGCCGTTTCATTGTTGCTCTGTTGCTGCACGAGTGGAAGTCATTTCAACAGAACTCTGCCTTTGACTGTTAACAAATAAGTGTAATAAGTGATTGAGGAAGTTAAGAAAATTCATCAATTTGAAAGGAAATTCAGTCCTGATGTGTACGGAAATGTATATTAAATTATTCCAAAGCCAGGAAGAGGAGGAAATCAAGCCCCGTCTGTGTCGTGATAACTTGGATGAGTAATCAGCTTTTAGGGAAATCACAAGAAAAGGAAGCTGACCCTTTTATTAAGCATAAACTGCTCTTTTAAAAGCTTCAATACATTTTTTGACTTCCTATTGACTGATAACACAAACAGAACCAAAACATTTTTTCTGTCTGACCCCTTTCAGTTATTATGTTTGAGCCAGAGAAAGAATGAGATAAAACAGCCAATTCAAGAACAAGAATAAGCAGAAATTATCCAATATTAGGTGTTCATTTTGGGACACATGACACATATTAACTGCGTTCCACTACTTGGCTGTATGGAAACAGAGACATCTGTCATCAGGTGGAAAACTTTAGTTTTCCATCTATTTTTAGGACTGAGTGAAGAGGAAGTCAGGACAAATTATTTTCACAAGAGGTATCAGACCAGGAAATATGAGCACTGACAGTCTGATGATCCATTCATGAATTTGTCTCTAATCAGATTCTTCTCTGTTGTTGATGTGAAGGCCTTTTGAGTGGAAACTTCAAATCATAACGCACTGTAGACAAATTCATACAGCCAATAATTTAGAAAGTTAGTAGAACATATTTAAAAATGACACATTTTGGTGTTGAATACACATAAATCAGTTCTGTCCACAGAACTACAGAACCAGCTTTTAAATCCTACTTATAGAAAGGTGAATAACTAATACTGGAAAACTTTTATTTTGTCTTAACAGGTGCCCCAAGCATCATATGACCCCAGTCAGACATCCCCCAAAAGCTTGAGTTTCTCAAATATCTACACAAACGATGAGTGATCATTTAGTAACAGCAAATACGAGGTCAGACCTATTTTCTAACGAACATATATCACTTTGGATCCTTTTTTCCCCGTTTTTTCATAAAGGAAAGGAAGCCGTGTTTGATGACAGAAGATGTGCCATCCTTTTGTCTGTAGACTCTCTTTGGATGTGTTTTCTTCAAAGGGGGTTCTGTGGCACCGGTCAGCCCTAAAAGGAAAGATCCTAAGGCCGTGTCTGCGTGGATGACACCACCGGCCAAACAAGGTGTCCTTTCCTGACCTCCCTAATTTGTTGCATGTGAGCGTGTGGAGCTTCGCCTCACAAAGTTGTTGTGAGACCTCTGGGTCGGGTCAGTGTGCGGTTTGTGTGAATGTAAATGTCCCTGAATCAAAATGACAAATGATCCCAAGAGCTGGACCTTTTTCAGAATCTTTCTTTTTCCGGACTTAATAGTTTTAGTAGGATCAAGTCGCCACTTTTATTACCATAAAGATTAATATTTCGAGACAGTTTTTTAGAATTATTTCTTGGTCTCTAAAGCTGAGATTTTCCTAAATGATATCCGTGAAAACTAGAACACTGACATGGACCAAGAGGCCACAAATGTCAATCAAATTGAATAGAATGAACAGCAAAATCAAATTTACCCTTTTTCAACTTCTATTTTTGACATGAGCACAAAAGCGTGAGGAATATTTTTTTTTCTTTCCCTTTTTTATGTTTATTTATATGCGCAGTTATTTAATTATTCATAAATTAGTCATTGATTTAATTCATTTCTTCATTTTCAGATTTTTCATTCTCAATTGAATACGAAGAACGAATGAGACATGGATTCTTGTGACACGCATAATGGGGTGTAATGTGATATGTCCCTCTACAGAATACACTGCATGTGCTGACATTCAGTATTATAATCTATTTTATTTGTGCTTTTCAAAGCACACAATGTTATTCATTTCCTTTTCCATAGTACATCAGAACATTGGCTCTACCAAAAATTGAGCAGTGCAGTTATATTAAAAATGAAGGATTTAGCCTCTCAAATACCACAAATAAAGAGATACACAATGGCTTTGCCTCTACAACTTGACAATGATGATGTCTTATGTTTGGGTGAGCCCGTTCCGGTCAGAACTAGCCCCGGATTGGTCCCAACACATGGTCCCGTCCCTGTTTACCAACTCCCTGATACAGACTGGCCACTTCCCAAACCACACACTCACACTACTACTCCACACATTGTACCTTTTTTTTTTTTTTTTTTTTTCCTACCCCCTTTTGAATCATATTAGTGCATGAACTTAGTTTAACTGAAAAAGACTGTCGACTTCACTCAATTGGCCCTAATAGGATTAGGCTGCTGGTATGGGCCTGGAGTTTTAAATAGGAATGGAATTTTGGCAGACACCAGCTCAATCCATTGCATTAATCTGATAAAGGTTATGGAGTATGTGGAGGCCCCAGTGATGCCCAGAGCTGAGTGGATGAATCTCTGTTTTAGCTGTTTTGCGTAAGCCAGAAGGTAAAAGAGGAGCTTTAAAAAAGCAGAAAGCTGCAGGTGTCATAGCCAGAAGGCCTTTTATTCCAAAAGGCTTTGATTTCTGTCCAAAGTCATAAAATGCGAATATTCGCGGAAGCGTTTTTCGTCAATATACGGTGACGTTCTGGTTTAGTTCTCTCCTGAAAGCCAGCTCAGCTTAGTTCAGACACGTAAAGTGACTTATTCTGCTGGCAGCACCAGAGCATCACAGGACTAACACCAAAGGACACCCCTGTGTTCATCTCCAACATTAAGAAGCATGTCATGCTCATCTCTCATTGGCAGAAATTGGTCACTTTGCACTGTCACATAGTTGGACAACAATGTAACAGAAGTCTTTTTTCTTCATTTCGGCTGAAGCGGCAGACGGGCTGTCACTGCTAATCGGTGACAGATTTGTGGAATGTATGAAGGACGACAGTTAAAAAGGGCCGCCATAATCAACAGGAACACAGATGCAAATATAAAGAGACGGGGATGTTTAAAGTGGGACTGAGGAGTTAACATCCTGATGGGGCTAATGCTGCTAAGATTATTACTGATCAGCGTTCGGCTTTATTTTCAGGTTCAGGGATGCAGTTTTTAGGTTTCTTCAGAGGTGATAGCAGATGAACACGATAATCCTCACATCTATGTACAAAATGATGGTAAAAAGAATTGCATTTATCGCATTTGGAAACAGTTTAACCTGTAAAATCACTACAAGATAGCACACATCTTCATTTCTAAAGTTGTTGTCATTGCTAAAGGTGTCAGACAACACAAATTAGGGAAAGATCCAAGATTTGGTGAATTGTTGATAAACTAAATCTCCCAAAAATATCTGTTTTTAAGGAACATTGCACATATTTTACAGAACAACCGGTTCATTCTGGGCTGAATGTGAACTGACGTGACAATGGCGCATTACTGTGTGAAAGCACGGGCCTCAGGCTGACATTTTTACACTTGTTCACTCCAATCCTTCTGCGTGTATGACAAATCACTGGTGTCCGAGGCATGTCTGAGTCAATAAGAAAAATTGACGTAAAGGTCACTGGTGTCTGAGTGCCTGTAGGTCATCACTTAAACAGACCG